TGTGCCTTTTTGTTCGAAAACTATAGGCCTCGGAAAATCACATGATCGGAAAATCGATCCTACGCCCTGTCAATCTGGTATAAATAATTCGATTTTTATCACAAATATCAATTTCTCATAAAAATGATCAAATGCTGATTTTTTGCAAATAAAAAAAAAATTATCCCAGAGCCCGGATTTTGCAATTAATCTTATGACTAAATACTAAAAACGTAAAACAAATCTATGTTATCGTTATTTTATTTACATTCAAAAATGTATAGTTTACCTATTCTTGAGTACTCTGGGTTGACTGGTATTATTCGTTAAATATATAATTTGTCGTTCTTCTTGAATATTATTGATTAAACATTCTTAAATATTGTAGGTTGAAAGTTTCTTGATATTTCGCTTAGTGCCCGTTTATAGGTCGGGTTAGCATTTGCAACATTTTTGATGAAATTAAAAAGCAATTCTTAAATGCATTTTAAATAGCCAAAGAAATACCAATTATTTTACCTTTGTAAGATCACACCTTGTATAAAGCATTGTTCATACTCAAACAAAATTTCTACTACGTTCAGCTTTTAAACCAGTCTATCGAAACCTTGGGCAGATTCTATAGCGTTTCAGATGAAAAGATTTATGAAATTATTCTTTTTAATAAAATACTAAAAATCAAAATCATGATGGCGGAATTTCTAGATTTATGTCAATAACACTGTGTCACGGTTGATATTTATAACGATAAATAAAAAATATTACGAACCTCTTATTGTTTATATTTTATTTGGTTACAACTCTTACACACTCATGAAATAAATTAACCAATTAACGTGAATTTCTATCAGATAAGATTTTTATATCCAAATATACTTTTTAAATTCATTTTTTTTTTTTTTTTTTAGGAGGATTTGCTTATAAATTTTTCAAGCCCAATAGAATCTGGTAATACAAAATGTACGTATTTTTGTTTTTATTTTTTTCGTAATTGTCCTGATTTCTCAGATCAGCAACTTTTACGTTCATTTAGAGTAATACGTTCTAGATAAAGATGGGAATGCTGCATTATGTGCATTACATTATGCAAAACATAATGTAATTTAAACATTTTAAAATTTAAAAGTGCACATAGAAATTATTATATAATTTTAATGCAACAAAAATTAATAAACTATTATATTTTATATCATATGAGTGCGTGAGAATAAAAACCTGGAACTGATTATAATGATTTACTATGATCAGTTACAGGTTTTCATTCTCACGCACTCATATGTAATACTAAGTAATATGTAGCATCAGTTAGTGATTTCCTACCTTTATAAAGCATGCTAACTACTGTAATATGAGATTTGAAAATACCATAAAATAGTAAACTTCTGTCTAGAGATAAGAAAGATTGGATATGAATCTTGCTTCTTAATTTTGGTAGAACACCATGATTGCATAATGTCACATGCTGCATTATGCTGCATTATGCAGAGCCAAAAAAATATGCATTCGCACAACTCTAGTTCTAGATCTTTTTCACATGACACAATCATGCTATCTAATAATATGCAAAATTTCGAACACAGTAAGTTTCTTGTAAACATACACTTCGTTTCACCACGTTCCTAGTATAGATTTTCCAGATTGGGAATTTAAATTGGGCAAGTACTATCCATATTAATTTCGTAAACAAATCATAAGGAAAGTCATTTGATATTATTCGTTTATCTCTTTTTGTCTTTATTTTTCTATTACTGCTTATTGTAACCATTATCATTATATGAGCGACGTCAAAGAAAAACCTATTTGGCAATTTTTCACTTTATTTGATTCAATTTCCAGTTGGCGTTAACAACAATATCGAAAATCAAATTTATAAGGTAAAATTAATGACTTTGAATTTCAAAAAAATGCAAAAACTTATTTGATATAAATACTACTTCAATCAAATAAACTATTTTAACTTACAACACCATGAAAAAATTCGCATTAATCCTTATTTTTACAATTGTCGTTATCAATAACTTTATTGCTATCACAATAGCTTTGAGATACAACAGAAATAATGAATTTCATCCTAGTTTTACTGATAATTCAATGACTCCAGTGAGGCGGCAGGCTTGCAATCCTCCTTGCAATACTAATCAAACATGTTGTGGAAGTCTTTGTTGTGGAGCTGCATCAGCATGCTGCGTGGGTCAAAATCGTTGTTGTGGAGCCGCGCAATCATGCTGTGGTCAAAGTCTTTGTTGCTCCGGAGATTGCTGTGGGAATGGAACTCATTGTTGTGGAGTCGCGCAAACATGCTGCGGAAGCTCTTGTTGTGGAGCTGCACAAACATGCTGTGGAGACCGTACGTGCTGTGGTCCAGTACAAACATGTAATAATGGTGTTTGTGTATCTAGTATTGGTTGACACAAACATGCTGTGGAGACCGTACGTGCTGTGGTCCAGTACAAACATGTAATAATGGTGTTTGTGTATCTAGTATTGGTTGATATGAATTACTAGTACTTTAATGAATCTAGCCTAAATTTTTTATCCAATTTTATCTTGTAATTTTTATCCAATTTTATCTACATCACTTTGTTTTTTTTATTGGATATAAAATACTTATTATGCAATTTATTACTAAATTAAAGAATTATAGTTAACCTCTTACTGACTTTTACAAATTTATACCATTCTGAAATTTCCCAATCGACACTCATATTATATATTTTACTGTATCTATCAGAAGAATTCATTTGATTAAAAATCTGAAAAAAATTATCAGTAAGACTATGTAAAAAACAGATGAAATTCAGACGCTTTGAGTATTCTTAAAAGCTTATTTAATGAATACTTATGAGCTTTGATCATTCAAGAATAATATTGTACAGTCATCTAGATTTTTGTTAAATAGGATATTCACTGAATTCAATATCATATGATATTCAGATGGCCAATTAGGTTAATTTCATAATAAACGTTTCAATATGGCAAAAAAAATTGTTGACTTATTTTGACTACTCATTTTAAGATATTTTATTTCGAAACAGCTATCCTTTGAATATTTTTATATATTAATTAATTCTCATTATTTGCAAATTTTGTACAACCAAACATTTATGAAAATAAGACAAGATTTAAATTAGGGTAGAATAATTATAAGTACATATCCATCTAAAATTTTGAGTGGTTGCGTATTTTATTGTATGCATAAATTAATTCTGGCACATGAAACTATGTCTCAATAAATGCATACTTTATAAATGGGCGTTCTCATAAATTCTCTCTGAATATAAGGCTGTTAATCGATCCAGTCCAGACCGACGGTCCTTTGGTCCATTCAAGGATCAGGTCAGTCCAGTCCTCTTTAGGATGGATCGAGATGACAATCGGTCCTAATAGTAAGTGAGGTTGAGAATTAGGGCGAAATAAAAAAGGACATCATATGTAGCAAAATATTGCAAGAAAATTTTTTCTTAAGACGTAGGTGGTTTTTTATAAGCAAAATCTCGAGTTATGAACGATTTTTTGAAAAAAACCTGGGAGTTTATTTTGTTTTCACATTATGTCTGATCCTGTGTCGTGATTGGTTTAAAATCTCGAGACTGAGAACTTTTATGCGGTAGTAGTTTCAAGTTACACAACCATGGATAATAACTAGGGATATGTACTTATAATTATTCTACCCTAATTTAAATCTTGTCTTATTTTCATAAATGTT